GATCAGGAAAAAGATAGAGAAGAGAAGAATAATTTATTTTTTATTCTAAATAAATATTTTTGAAGTAGACTCCCTTGAAAATCCTATGAGACAATATAATCCCTCATCCGTTTTTTTATTATTTATTTTATTTCCCCTTCCCCTACATCGAAACTCAATTTGAGATGTTAGAATTTGAAAAAAAAAGATGGGAAGTTTCCTAGAGTAAAGAGAGGGGAGGTGTAAAGAGAGAGGGATTTTGAAGATAGCGAAAACGGTTATGGAGGAAAGGGCGAGAGAGAGAGATAGAGAGAGAGAGTGAGTTGAATGCTTGAGAGAAGTGCCATATATAAATTTCAATTCAATTGCAACAAATTCTTAATTTTCACTATATTAATAAGTTTATATAAATTTCAATTCAATTTCAACGAATTCTTTCATTCAATTTCAACGAATTCTTACTTTTCACTATATTAATAAGTTTAGGTGAGTTTTTTTTGAGAATAGCTAACCACCCCTAATCCACAATAATTTGAATACAATATTCTACATTGGATTTCTTTTTTAGCCAGACTTGCACTTTTCGTTCTAGCTGCACTTTTTATTCTAGTTGTCATGTAGGTTTGTTAGTGGAGTATAACATGCTCCACTACAAATTAAGTTCCCCACGCAAAAGAGCCATTATGGGATTTTTTTTTTTTATTTAAAGTTTTGGAACCCAACTTAGCATAGCTAGATGACTCTCTAACAAAAGGTCATAAAAATTGAATTCTTCAAAACTGGAGCTTGTTCTCTAAATATTGGAGGTTCCTTATTCATTCACATGTATTTATTATCAAGACATTATTTTTTAAAGAAAGTAAACTATGTAAGTTGAAAAATATTTTTTTGCGATTTGTATCAACACTGAAGAGGTTAAACCTCTGAAATTTGAAGTTCTAAGGGTATTTCTATCTTAATATTTTATGGTTTACCTGAGGGAGCAAATTTATAAGCATGCTTCCACCGGAGCAACGTATTTTTGGCCTCTAGACTGTATAATATAAGATTATTTATTTTTAATACAAAAAAGGTCACAATCACTTTAGTCAATATTTAAATAAACGGATTAGTGACCCAGATCGACAATCCACAACGGAGAATTGGCTGGATCAAAGAGTTTCGACTTTAAAAAATTCAAAAAATTACTGAAATTTCTTAAAAATCTAGTTTCTTATGTTTCAAAGAAACAAAGAGTATTGCAATGTAGATTTTCACTATTTCATAAAAAATTGTAAATTTTGAGAATATGTTTCATGCCTAAATATTTATTCACTACTACGTCCATTTCATATTCAAAATAATATAATAATCTTTCCTATTTATTTATTTATTTCCTTTTTTTGAAAATTAATTTATTGAATTACATGTTTTTCATAGAAACACCATTCAAATAAAAAATATAAAATAGAACTAAATGAAAGCGTTAATTTTTTTGGTAGTCAAAGAAAGCGTAAATTTAGAACACGGAGGTCATCTTTTAAATACCTCTAATTACATGCAAGTTTTTCACAATATTGGGTGCCTAAAATTTCAAAAGCAAAAACCATCTTTTTGATATTTTTAAGAGGTACAAATTGCCGCTTGCTAACAAAATGAGAAAAAAATAAAAATAAAAATAAAAAATAAAAAAATAAAAAGGTAAAATGAGTTTATCGTGTGCATGAATTTTTATTAAGATGAAGAAACAAAACAAAATGAGATGTGGTCTCGTCCGATATTGTGAAGAAAAGTCCCAAACCAGGGATTTAAGAGGAGAGAAACCTCCTTAAAATACTTAGGGTGTGCCATTTGGCTGCTTCATTCAATGATGAGCTGGCAGGCTATAATCTAAGTTTTGACTTATAAAACATGTTTTACACGACACACGTTTCAAAAAGAAATGGGAATTGAAAATCAACGATTCAACTAATACAAATTTGATTCAAAATGGGAATTGCAAATCAACGGTTTTACTAATACAAATCTGATTCAAAATGGTAGAATCAACGATTTTACTAATACAAATCTGATTCAAAATGGGAAATGGAAATCAACGGTTTTACTAATACAAATCTGACTCAAAATAGTAGAATTGGCAATGTGGTAGGGGGGTCGGCTGGATATCCTAAAACGAGTAGTGGGAAATATGATAAATTTTTAAATTTTTTTTTTTAGCCTTTAGATGTGAAATCCAATAGATGAGAGTGCCACAATATTTAAAAAATTTATTTCAGTTTTATACCCAAACAATAACACATCTTCAACCACCTGATTTCAATTATAACAGTCAATAATTATTGTGCCCTCACCATATCAAAAGTAAATAGTCTCATTGTATACATTCTTTTTAGAAAATAAAAAATTTTGATGAATTAAAAGCACTGCTATTGAGCAAAAACCATTTTTTTTTTGGTAATTCTAAGGCGTACACATTGTCGTTTGCTTACAAAAGTGAGAAAGAAACAAAGCAAAATGAGTTTACCATGTACACAAACTTTTATTAAGATGAAGAAACAAAGCAAAATGAGAAAGAAATAAAGCAAAATGAGAGATGGTCTCGTCCAGCATTGTGAAAGAAAGTCCCACATCAAGGATTAAGACGATAAAAGACTCCTTAAAATGTTTAGCTTTAAAATGTTTAGCATGCGTTATTGGGGCTGCAACGACCAGAGAGATGGTCTCGTCCAGCATTGTGAAAGAAAGTCCCACATCAAGGATTAAGACGATAAAAGACTCCTTAAAATGTTTAGCTTTAAAATGTTTAGCATGCGTTGTTGGGGCTGCAACGACCAGCCTGAGTAGCCATTTCATCCAATGATGAGCTCAATAAGACGCTTTAACATGCAAAATAAGTCTTGTTGCCTGGTAAGTTTTGATGTATAAAATATCGGTGAGCCGCTACTCAAACTTTTAAAAATAAAAATAAAAATTGCCTTCTAATATAAGGTTGTAATCTTAAAGTTCGAAAACTTCTAATATAAGGTTGTAATCTTAAAATGCGCACCTTTAAAATTGGAAAATATGTTGTTTTAGTATTGAAAAACCTCTATTAAAAAATGTTGTTTTAATATTGAAAAATATTATCGAGATGGATGAATATGAATATGTTGTCTTAATGTTGAAAACCATTATCGATATGAATATGAAAAAACCTCTATTGGAAAATGTTGTTTTACTGTTGAAAAACCTTTTAATTGATGTATGAATATAAAAAACTAAAAAATTAAAAAAATTGAGTCCCAAAAATAATGAATCTTGTAGCACATTATCCAGGCTGTCCATTTTCAAGATTTTCATATGTTTATGGATCTACTTGATTTTAATTATTTTTTGAAATTTAAAATTTATAATTAGATATGAAAATAGTTATTTAGATAATTCTAAAAATGTTTTACACCAAAATTTCATGTTATGATAAAATTTGGGTGTGCACATTAATTGGATTGTTTAAGGTTGGAACTTTATAGAAATCATACCAATAGATGAAAGTGTTACAATATTTAAAAAAAAACTTATTTCAACCTTTGTGCATAAACAATGAGACATCTTCAACAACTGATTTCAATTGTAATAACGTATCCTCGCCATATCATAAGTAAATAGTGACATTGTCTACATTGCGTTTAGAAAATGAAAAATTTTGATGATTTAAGGAGCACTGCTTTGGGTTCCATTTTACATTCGACGCATCATATCCAACTTTAAGATAGATTGTAAAACGTCCCTCTACCAAAATCTAAACTAAACGGAGCTAAAAGATAAAATATATTACTATTGCATATTGCCTATTTTTCTTTTTCACCCTTTATATGGAAAATGTTTATATATTAACAACCTTATACTCACGAGGTAAGGTGCATCTCAAATTCCAACTGTTGATCTCAACCTTGAGATGCATGGACACGAAGTAAAAAACGAATGTATTTTTTAACAAGTTATCTAAACCGTCTATTTTCAAAATTTTTAATTTTTTAATTTTATAACTGAAAAATAAAAATAATTTTAAAACCATCATAACATTTTCGACACCAAAATGACATCTCTAAGTAAATTTTATAGGTCCACCCCACTTCTACAATATAAAGAGACAACCTCATATAAAAACCTCTCCCTTTTTATATTGATGATAGTTGATTGAGACTGTAAAACCCCAATTGTGGATCTTCGAATGATATCACAAAGATTTCCCGGGTTGAAACATAGACTCTATTAAAAGGTGGGCCCTAATTTGAATGTTTTGGAGATGCTTTATTATATTGTAGAAATGACGTCCAGCGCATGAAACAATTTTCCTTTCTAAATGCCTACAAAATCCGAGAGTATTGAACACGCATGAAACAATTTTCCTTTCTAAATGCCTACAAACTCCGAGAGTATTGAACACGCGTGAAACAATTTTCCTTTCTAAATGCCTATAAACTCCGAGAGTTTTGAACAATCTCACTTTTTACGTATCCTTGAAACGGGCACAAAATCCAACCTTGTTACTTGATTGAAAATAGTGCATCTTATATCGCATTTTTAGATTATTAATTTTCAAGATTTTCAAATCTGTGTAAATATACTCCATTTACACTAATTTTCAAGTTTATAATTTTATAATTACAGATAAAAATATATTTTAAAGCTACCACAAAGATTTTCGGGGTTGAAACATGGACTCTATTCAAAAGTGGGCCCTAATTTGAACGTTTAGAGAGCTTTAGGATAGTGAAGAAATGAGGTCCAGCCCGCATGAAACAATTTTCCTTTCCAAATACCTACAAAATCTGAGAGTTGTGAACCGTCAATCTCGCTCTTCATGTATCCTTAAATCGAGCACAAAATCCAGGCTGGTTACTTGAGTTCCAAAACCCCAAATCTAAGCTGAAAATACAGTGCCAGAAAAGTCTTTCGGAGGCCATCTCTAAAATATATTTTCAAACATAATCCCCTTCTTGATTAATACCCATTATCCCCTCGATCAGAAGCTAAGATAACCATTTCTTATAGATTAAATGAATTTAAATACTTAGACAGAGATGAAGCCATATATACTTCTGATGATTATTACAACTAGGGCACACTAAAGCCAGACCGAGTCTCTGCAAAACCACATAATAGACACACACATGTAGATACATATAACCAAGGCTTCTCACACTACACCTCAGAAATATATGTTTAGAAGAGAGAAAGATAACATTGATGAGATAGCGAGAGAGATTGGGTGTCTAAGGGCACTTGGATTCGTTTCTGTGGGTGGTCATGTTGATGTAGCATGTGCCGCAGACCTCCTTGTTGCCGGAAGTGCCCGGCGGCACGCATTGGCATCGGTCGCAGCACGTCCCGCACGCTCTCAGGCACCTGTTGGGTCGAGAATGGAGCTTGCACCTCTCTCCACACAACTTTGGGCAATCTGCAAAATGCATACATCAACCACAACAAGCTTCATCATCTCCCCCCTTTTCAACCTCAACTTGAATCAACAACACCACATACTCACCTATGCCAACTTTTGAGCTCCCGTTCCCACCACTGCCAGGAATCTGCACAAATCCAAGGAAACCAAGCGGTTACTGATACTGCTATCAGTTGTATTTTACTTGGGTCCTCCATGAAAAATAAAACTCAAAATGCTGTTACCTGATTGAGATCAATGTCTTGATCTTCGTCCTGGTACGACTGCGACGACATCTGATTAAACCAAAAGGTAGCACCATGAGTTTATAAGTAAAAACCAATATCAAAATAAAACCCATGGGGCCCAAAACTTGCCATTACCTGAGAAATAACCAGAAGCAAAACTATATATAGAAGCAGCTCTCTAAGCGCCATTATCTCTTAAAGCGATGACACAAGATAGCTTCTGTGAAAGCAGAGAAAAACGTAGGAATACAGACTGTTGTGTGAGTGTGAAGAAGAGAAATGAGAGGGGATCAACAGGAAGCTTGGTCGATTACTAATGGAAAGAGGTGAGAAGACAGATATTATTCCCAGACTTTACTTACTACTTATATGCACTTAGAGAGAGAAAGAAGAGAGAGAGAAGAGAGGACAAGGAGAGGGCCAGCTTAGCAGGCAGCATTAGTGAAGAGAGACGTGACAGTGTTCCCACTTTCAAGCTTTTACTGTTCCCTTCAACAAAAATAGTAATAGTAGGGAAAAGTTTATATAGTGCCTAGGCTTTAAACAATCAAATTAGAGCCTACTTCGAAATTTTCACAAACGGTGGTTGTTTTGATTCTCAAATATCATCAAATTGATTACCTAGACATCAAGATGCACGAACATGAGAAAAAAAAAGGGATTTTAAGATTTGGAAATAGTGTTGTAAGCCTATAACACATTTTTGGACCGTCATTTTTCAATATTTTCAAGGTTTCATTGATATGCTGGAACTACACTATTTTGTAAGTTTTAAATTTTATAACTAAAAATAAAAATATAATTTAAGGCTTTCATGAAACTTTCCAGCATTGAAACCATATTTTTCAACGTTATTTGATGGTGGGCTCTAATTTGATTATTTAAAACCTTGGCCCCATACTAACCGCAAAACAATCAATTTAGAGCCTATCTCAAAAATTTCAGTTGCTTCGAATGTCCAAATATCCTTCAATTGATCATCTCAACGCCAAGATGTATAGGCATGAGAAAAAAATGGATTTCAAGTTAAAAAATAGTACATCTTGTAATGCATTTTTGGATCGTTAATTTCCAAAAATTTCAAGTTTTCACATATCTACTCGATTTACGCTGTTTTTTAAGTTTTAAATTTTATAATTAAATATAAAAATATATTTTAAGGCTATCACAAAGATTTCTAGTATTCAAATTACATTTCTCAATACTATTTGAATATAGGCTTTACTTTGATTGTTTGGAGCCCCGGACCCTACTAATAAACGCTTCTTGCAACCCTACCATCCTTCGCTAGAAGACGCATCTGGGGTTAGTGAAGTCAGTCAAATTATGGCAAAGCTATTATTATTCATTCAAAATTAGTAAGTAGAGAAAAGGCAATCATAAGGTTCGAACACTTTAAGCTCATGTAGTAATATATATACTGTGCTCCCACGGGAGAATATTGTACATTTAGTCCCTTGGACAGGAAGAAGAAAGCCTTTTTTTAATCTAATATTTTGGGAACGACCTCAAAGTTATAGGTTTTGGTGAGTCAGCCGACTCATCAATTGTCACGCGGTCTCTTGTCTATCTAATATCCATCTCTAAGATGGATGTTAAAAAAGAATGTTGCATCCACTAAAAATTAAAATGGATGGTGACAAAGGAATCCAAAAAAGGAAAAAGTTTATATGGTATGGCAACCTTACAATGTAGATATAGCTACGGATATAACTCAAAAATCCATTGGAAAAGGTAGTTTTAATGATGAAAAACTATTTTATTGATCATCTCGACATCGACCATGAAATATAAAAAGATTTTCAGTCTAAAAAATAATGCATTTTACAACATATTAACTACACCATCCATTTTCAAGATTTTCATGTGTTTAGAGATCTACTTGATTTTAACTATTTTTAAATTTTTTAAATTTTATAATTAGATATAAAAATAGATTTTGAAATAATCCTAAGAATATTTTACCGCTGCAGCTACGGATGCATTTGTATGCCAATTGCACCCTTCAAAAATTAGCATTTACATATTTTGAAAAAGAAGAACTCCATATTTGAATCATTGTCATGCTTGAGATTATTGAACTCTACAATTTTGGATTGAAAATACATCTTTGAAATATATTTTATAAGGAGATTGCACAAAAATAGTGTGGATCGGCACTCACCAAATACTTTTCCTAAAATCATATGGCGTTGTCCCAGAGATGATTGTGTGGTATAACATTTGAAAATTTTTATTTTAAACTTTGTGCCCAAAAAATAACACATTCTCAACCACCCGATTTTAAATTTAATGGTTAAATATGATTGTCACCATCTTATATCAAAAGTAAATGGTCTCATTATATATATTTTTAAATTTTGGATTATATACTGTGAGACTATTTATTTTTATACAAAGAGGTCACAACCACTTTTAACCATTGGTTTGAAGTCCAACTGATTAAAAAATATGAATTTTGAGTTAATAATTAGTTCTCAATTATAAAAAATTGGATGGTTTCTAATCAATCTTGACGTATTATTTTTTCAACCAATAAAAAATGTGATTTAGAAAATTCTTATCAGGTAGAGCATAAAGTTTGAAGAGGTTAAATCTCCCAAAAATAACAACCCTAAAAATGCTCCTAGATTGAGTTTTGTCCGACGGAGGGAGTAAATGGATATTATGCTCCTTGGGTCAGTAAATTTAAGAACGAATAGCAGTAGGATAGTATGCATATAACCTCCCACAACAACAGAAGCCTTTTAACTTAGAGATCTCAACCATGTAATTGTCTAAACAGTTTATAAAAGGTCTCAACCCTGCAATATAAGTAAATAGAAGTAAGTGGCAAATTAAAAACCTATTATAAAGGTTGTTTCGATGTTGCAAAACTCTTCAATAGATAATCTCGGCCCTAAGATATTTGGCTCTAAATAAAAATAGATTTCAAGTATTAAAAAGTGTATCTTGAAATATATTATTTGGATCATCTATTTTTAATATTTTCAAATATTTATATATCCATTCAATCTATACCATTTTTGGAGTTGGTTGAAAGCATATTTTTTACGCCATCACAGCGTTTTCAGCGGCAAAACTACGTTGTTTCGACATAATGTAAAAGATGGACCTTAATTTGATTGTTTGAGGTTTGCACCTTATGCAAATCAGAATCTTGTCTAAAATGGACATGGATAATTCATGTTCAATCCGAGATTTTTATTGTATTGAAACTGATGAGGCGTATATTCTCCTAGTCCTTGCGGTCCAGGGGCTTATATTCCCTAAATTTTAGGGTTATAATAAATACTCAAAAGTCTAAAAGTAGGATTTGGAGATATTTACGCTCATGTACCCACACGTCGGTTTCATGCAAACAAAATAAAGCCTCAAATCAAATTCTAGTTTGAAAAACACTTTCACTAATAGAGATCTCCATGATGGCTCTAAAATCAATTTTTAACGTCAACAATAAATTTTGAAATTAAAAATCTGGTATGGATCTTTCGGATCTATGAACACTTATTTTTAGGGCGAAATTGATAGTCTCGATAGTATGTTCTAAATTATTTATAGAGCTTGAAATCTAATTTTTTTCACAACTATAATGTTCAAGCTAAGATGATCGATGTAAAAATTTTCCAATTATTGAATCACAATTTTCGATGATTTGTAAGATAAGGTTTTACTTATTGAAAAATTGTCTCATACAGGTTGGATTGCATTTATTCAACATGCGGTCCAGAGGTATAAAGCATCCATCCTAAAGATGGATGGAAATAAGTGGTTCATCTAAAAACACGTGTAACTCATGGTCCAAATGATTCTTTAATATAATTATTATTTCTAATTTTCAATTTTTTTCATATTTATAATCTCCATATAAACCGTGTTCTTACTTGACATTTTCCTTTCTTTTTTTGGAATGATAAACTATAGACTTTATAGGTCCAAATCCAAAAACTGAGTTTTCACTTCAAATCTTGAAGCGGTAGATGGTATTTTAAAGGGAGTGCGGTTTGTATAAAGCCTAGGCTCTAAATAATCAAATTAAAGCCTACTTTTAAATAGTACTGAGAAATGTTGTTTCAATACTATAAATCTTTGTAATAGCCTTAAAATGTATTTTTATATTTCTTTATAAATTTTAAAACTTAAAAAATAGTATAGATCGATAGATCCATAAAAACTTGAAAATCTTGAAAATTGACGGTCCAAAAATACGTTACAAAATACACTATTTCCAAAACTTGAAATCCATTTTTTTCTCATGTCCATGCATCTTGATGTCAATATGATCAATTTGAAGATATTTCAGCATCAAAACAACCTTTTCTAGTAAAAATTTTGAGATAGATTCTTATTTGGTTGTTTAGAGCCTCGACTCTATAAAAACTTTTTTCCCTGGGTTAAAAAAGAATTTCGCTGCAGGAGGGACAGTATCGTAATGGGTCCCAACCAGCAATGCTCGATTGTCCAAACTCCAGAGTATGGTAATTTATATGCTCCCGCGGGAATATAGGAGGCAAGAAGAAGAAAGAGGGGTAAATGGGGAGTGAAGTGGTTACAGCTGGCGGATAATGGAAAACAGCTGAGAGCGGTACCAAGTTTGGACAGTTGAGGGGACACTGGGCTCTCGAATGTCGAGCCACGTGTCCCTACACCTGAGCAATGGTATGGCCAGGCAGGCAAGCATTTAATTTAATTTAAGAGAGCGGCCTGTCATCCTCCCTTTCATTACTTTACACGACGTACACTCCTTCATTGGGGATGCATTGGTTGTTTCTTTCGGGGGTGAATCCCTAGTGATTTTAGAACTTTTTTTTGCAAAATTTATTATAGAAATGTGTCCAATGAGATATACATTTATCGGGAACGGTTTCTATAAAATCTATGCATATATGTTTAGGTAAAGAGAGTCACTCACCATTTTATCTTAGATCCGATCTCTCAAAATATTTTTTTATATAAATTATATGAATATAAAATTTGGTAAGTACCATCTTTTCATTTAGACGAACCTATACAAAATGTTAAAAATATTTTTTTCGATAAAATATAATGACTAAAGTATCTTTTAAAACTTTTAGATGCATTTTAGCTTTTTTATGTTATTGAAAATATTTTTTTAATTTTTTTTTTGTTAGTGCAAGTTTAATAGAAGATTGGACGTATAAAATTTGGTGTGAAAATAATTTATAGAAAAAAATTAAAATAAAATAATGTAAAGACATAACATTGTAATTGGGGCAATCTTTGCCCACCATTCAGAATAGACGGTTTGATAAGGGAAAGTATATAAGTTTTATGTTGTAGAGGAAGCATAAAAAGCTTGCCCTTATATATATATATATATATATATG